GTCAAGTGTCTGAGGCCAGATTTGATCCCAGTTCCTCCTGACTCCAGGACCAGTACTCTATCCACTGCACCACCTGGCTGCCTTATTTAAGGTCTTCAGAGGGACACAAGCCTAGTTAAAACAGTCTCATTACATTACAACATAGCTCTGTGACTGCAGTAGACAAACCAAGAAAATGTTGTTGATGGCTCCAGGGCTGTCCGTCTCTATGTGGCTTCATTATCAATATGTGTCTCCTTGTGGGTGTCCTTGTAATTTTGAAATTCCCAACTACTATGACAAATGGGAGTTTTAGTAGACTTTCACTACAGGCTTGCTGAAGATTTACTGAAGGAAATTTGCACCTGACTCAACTATACTGATTGACAGTGTTTCAAATTAAAAAGAGTTCAGCCATTTTTCCACATTTTGAACATTTTCAATCTTTAAGAAGATAAAAAGGCCTCTATTTTTTGTAATAAACATATCCCTGTGATTAACTTGAAGAAGACTTTGTTAATATAGAACTACTCTCAAAACTCCTTTTCACAGTCTCCTTTCTTATTAGGCACTTCATAAAAGATGTTTCTCGTTTCTTTTTCTATGTCTAGTATTTTCGAATGGAACACCAACTGTCATGTAAGGTATATATTATCTGTATCTGAAAAATGAGGAAACTGAGGATGAGGAAGAGTGTAACTTTTGTATAATCATGTAGCTTACAAATCTAGAAGCAAGGACATGAGCTCAAGTCTTCTGAAACCAGTATTAGTGGTCCCTACATTATCTCTTGCTGAATTTCAAACTCCCCAAACTCCAAAAGCCAATTTTATGTAATATTTTATTGTCTTTTATTGACTTTCTCTCTGACAATATTTTGAAATTATGATTTGAACTTAGGTCATCTGGCTCCCAAACACTCCCTTGTTTATCTGCTTATAAAAATTATGACCAAAAGAGAAACTGAAAGCCAAAGTGGTATCTTGTAAGATGGCAGCTCTGGATCTATTCTGGCTTTGAACTTGTGGGAAATAGGGAATTAAAATCAATCACATTACAAGGAATACTCAGCTACTTCATGTGACACTTTGGGTACTACTATTATTCTACTGGCCATGTGCTGTCTTCCTCAAGCATACAGGAAAGCCCTCTGTCACTGAATTAACAAGCAAAGGAATGTACAATTTTCCCACCAGGTGGCACTCTACTCCACCTAGCAAACAACTGGTCTCCCCTGTGACCCTCTGTCACATGTTCATAATGAACCTCACTAACATCAGACCTTATATGTTGGTCAGTGGTGCTCAGCAGTGTGTGTGTCTGTGTGTCTCTGTGTGGGTACATGTGCTTTTAACCCTGGCTGGGTGGATTCAGAAGGTAGCCTAGGACAGATAATGAGATTTGTGGGATAGATAATGTGGTATATCATAATTTATTCAAAAATTATAGGAAAGTCACTGAACCCACTCCACTCCCTTCTTGAATTCCCTTTCCCAGAGGATCATTCTCAAGGAACTCATTCACTTAATTTACTATTGCATAGTTTATTGAACATAGTAAAAACATATAGAAAATTATTAAGTACTTCTTTGTGGAATGCCACCCAACCATTTCCCCAAATGTCCTTTAACTTACACTCCAAGTTTTCTTTTCTGGGGTGCCAAAAGAACAATCCCAAAACATCTGGCTTTCAAAGGGTTATGGGAAAGATCAAAGGAAAGAGTTTTATTGCAAGAACTTTACCTAATAGCTATTTAAGTAAGAAAAAAAGAAAACCCAAACAGGGGCATTAGAGAGAAGAATATCAGTTTCATCCTAGAAAGAGTCATAGTGACAGCTAGTATCTCTCTCCCTATTTATATTGGTTAATTTGAGACCTTGGGATCTGTCCTGAATCATTTCCAAAAGCTGGCATTAGGCAGTTTTGGTTCCTCATAAATAGCATCTGATGTCATGACAGAAGCAAAGATAGCCATGATCACAAAGTAAGTCAGAACCCTGTGGCTATCTGCTTTGTCTCTCCTATCCTGATCTGCAATGAGGAGAATCTGAGGCACAAAAGTCTGAATATAATCTATTTATTAATGAGGCTAGCAGGTTGCCAATAATAGAGGTCAGTGGTCCCTCAGTGACCAAAGACACACCTTACAATCAGAGTGGCTTTTTATACAGTTTGGTGGTTACATAAGGTCAAGTGCCTCAAACTAAACTAAGTCTGTGATTGGTTTATATTAGAGGCAAGAGTGAGCTTACATTTTGCTGACTTGTAAGAGGGGATCCCCAAAGTCCACAGTAACAAGGAAAACACAGAGCTAGTCAATTCTCTAGAAAGTCATGTGACAGATGCCACTGAACACCAGAGAGGCCCAGTTTAGGGCAAAACATCTCCTGACCAGGTTGACTGATCTATCCCTCATGTTCCTTATCTCAAAGACAGGACCTTTTGGGTACATAAGTTTCCTACAAACTCTACTAACAAGGCCTAGAGTATCTGATTCAAATGCAATCTATAGCTATTAGTTACAATTATTAACTAAAATGCTTAGCTATCAATCAATCAATAACCAATAATCAATTTCACACTCCAGCATTGCCAAAGGGAAGTTTCTCTCAAGGACAAAGGAAACAAGGGAGAAAAAAAAATTCTAGAAGCCTCATCCTCTCATGAAACTCTATCTCTTCTTCATCGATACCTGAGTCGATTGATGCTATATGAGGGCTGTAAGTGTCCTCAGGCCAACATGATTTGCCCCTTTAAGTAGCACTAATGTATTTACTTTTCTAGATTTCTCTTGTCATCTATGTGGGCATTACGAAGATTCTACCCAGCAGCATCCCACTCTCAGAATGGAATGGGACATAGAACCTGTGCCTACCCATTCCATCCAAGACTGTGGGAAGGGGTATGGTTTATCCTTGACAAAAAGTCCAAATCCAATAACACAGGCTAAAGATATGAGTTAACAGGAGAAAGTTCCTAATAATGAATAAATTTCATGGATTGAGGGAATCTAATATAATACACCAGAAAAAGACAACTCCACAATATTTATAGTCGAACCCCAAGGAAAAAAAAGAATGGATTAATCATGAGCACTCCAAAAATGGATGGAAAAAATCATGGAAGAGCTGAAACAAGAAATAAAGAAATAAATTAGAACACTTGGAAGAAAGATAAATGGCTAATAATAGAAGGCAGCAAGCCCTACCAAAGTACTAGACACTTTGAAAAGTAAAATGGCATTAATCAAACTCAGTGGTTTGATGATATAACAAGAACATTAAAACAAAGTCCAAAAATTGAAAAACTAAAACATATCCACTCTCTAAAACAACCCTGAAAATAAGATAAGGTGAAATAATTTAAGAATCATTATACTCCTTCAAAAACAAATGTAAAAATCTGTATACCATCTCAGAAATAATAAAAGAAAGCTACCCCCAAAATCATTACAACCAGAGGACAAAGTGAAAACAGACAGAATCCACAAGCCACCACCTGAAAGAAACCCCAAATTGATGACACCTAGAAATGGCATAGCCAAAATCCAGAATTCCTCAGTCAAAGAAAAAAAAATCCTGCTAACAGCCAAGAAGGAAAAAAAAATCTTTCAAGGAACCACAGTTACAATCACAAGTTTATGTTACAATTATTTTAAAGAAAAAAGAAAACTTGGACAATGATAAACCAAAAGGCAAAAGATAAAAAGGCTCAAAGCCAATAATAACGTATCATGTAAAAGTGCATATAATATAATAGGGGAGAAAATGGACCTTTCATAGAATAGATTATGTCTAGCATTCCTGTTGAGAAGACCAGAGTTAGGTAGAATCTTTGAAATGCAAACATAGAAGACAAAAAAAAAAAGAAAAGAAAAGAAAAGAAAAGAAAAGAAAAGAAAAGAAAAGAAAAGAAAGATAAATGCATTTTATGAATTTCAAGGAGTTTAATGAATATCAAATACTTAGATCTTAATAGGGAAGAAAGAGACCATTTTCTCTTCAAGATCCAAAAGGGGAGCAAAGAAAGGCAAATTCAAGACTTCAAGTGGTTTTGTTTTATTTTGTTTGTTTTATGAGAGAAAAGAAAAGGTAGGGGAATAAGAATGGACAGCTGAACATCACTATTATCTGAAGCAAGCAAAGGAAGAATAAAGATACATTCAGACACAAAGTGTACAAATCTAATAAGTGGGGAAATAAGCAAGGTGAAGGAAAGGAAAAAAGAGGACTAAAAAGAGATATTAGAATTAGGGATAGAATAGTCACAAGTAAAACACACTTCAACTATTTAAGGTTGCTTATAAAAAGGGAATTAAGAGGAAAGAGAAAAAGGGTAACAATATCAAGCAATGCAGGTCTAGGCTGAGAAAAGTGAAACAGAGCAAAGGAATAGTAAAGTCAAACTACTCCAATTACACAAATTACTCCAATTACTAATGTTGATTTCATTACCTTTTTATCCTCCACTTTATTTTATCTTGAAAAGGGGCAGAGAGTAGCATATATATGAAAAGTTCTTAAAGCATGTTATAGGGGAGAAAATATACCTAATAAGCATATCCATGAATGTAAATAGGATGGCTTTATGCATAAAAAATGTAAGCTGGCATAATGGATTAGAAAACAGAATCACACACACAAAAAAAAGGTTACAAAAAGCACACTTGAAATCTAAAGAGTGACACAAATTTAAAAACCTATTATGCCTCATAGAAATAAAAAATACATATATAGTAGTCATACTAGTAGTCAGCATGGTAGACACGGTCTCACACATGGCAATATTCAAAACAGATACAATTAAAAGATAAGCAAGAAATCTCCAAAATTTTAAGCACCAAAACTTCCCCCTCCCTGAAAGCCTCATCAAGAGAATGAAAAGAACTGGAATTGTAAGGAGCAAAAATACATATTTCTCAGCTTTGTATTGTACCTTTACAAAAATTTACCATGTTTTGCATTATAACAAATGCATAAAGGCAGAGAAGTAGAAATATTGAATACATCTTTTACAGGCCATAATTTAACAAAATTATAATAAATATAATTATTCAAAGAAGGGATTAAGACTTACATGGAACTAAATGAGGTTTTAAAGAATGAATGGGTCAAAGAACAAATCACAGAAATAATGAATAATTTCATTTAAAAAATGATAACAATACTGCTACATACTGAATTTTTTCAGATATCGTCAAAGGAGACCTTAGGAGAAAATGTGTATCTCTAAACACTTTCAACAACAGAATGAAATAAGAGATTAACGAATCAGACATGTGACCAAAAAAAAATTAAAACAGAGAAGCAACAATTTTTAAAAAACATACAAAAATACTGTTTGATGCTAGGACCCTATTAGTTCAGGTTTGATACTGAGACAGAGTAAGGCCACTGAACAAAAGGAGATTTTCTTAATCTTAGCATAGCAAAGATATACAGTACCACTTAGTTGGGATAGTCATCACTCAACTTATCTCCACATGGAAAAATATCTGGTCAGCAGGGCAGGGTATAGCATGACTTGGCAAACACCAAATCTGAAGGGTTCCTATCCCTATCCCCCTTTTATGCTTCTAGGTGACCAGGTGACATTTAGGGGAGATCTAGCCTAACTCACATTGAGGCAGGGGAAGGAGGAGCCCTGCTGGATACTGGTCCTATCACATACCACCCCATGGTGGCAAGGTCCAAAGAATCTAATAGAGGACCTTACACCATTTAGATGCTTTTAGGGCTCTTACTGGACAATATTCCTGGCATAGGGAGAACTATGGCACCCCTAAAGAGCCACCATAATAAAAAAGAAAGAAAGAAAGACAAAATGTGGAGAACAAAAGCCAGAAATATTTGGCTTTTCCTCCTCCCTTTGGAAAAATCAGTCAAAGATCTCAGTGATCTCAACCATGTGATGGATAATGCCAGATTTTTACAGCTTACAGTAGGTCTTCTAATGCAAGATGGTGACAGTGAGGCAGAAGAATGCCATGAGTATCAGGAACATAGTATCAGGGACAAATCCAGGTTAGTCACAGATTCTCATCCTGATGTAAGGTAGTGATGATGAATAAGAGTAGTATCAAGAACAATAGATGATAAGAGCACAGATGATGACGCTTCAACACAGGCAACAATTTTTCACCAGGCATCAGGGTCATCTATAGTAAAATGACTAAGAGATCATCAGCTCCTTGTATGCATCCTTTCTAAATTGATATCCAGTCTTTCAAAATATTGCCACCAACTCAGTATTCCCTGGCTTATCCACCAAAATCTTTCCCCTGCAAAAAAAAATAAAAAATTTAAATTAAAAAATTAAAAATTTAAATTTAAATTGAAAAAAAATAAAAATTGAAAAAAAATCTTCCCCCTACTTTGAGAATTTCACCAAGAAAATGATATAAAGTCTTTGTCCTCTTCTGGGCTTGGGTGGAGAGGCTGCCCTCCTCCTCCACAGGGACTAAAGAAGGATTCTCCTTCCCCTCCATCCAGAGACTCCGAATTGCCACCATGTCAGCTAGAGGGTCCCCTCCCTTCCAAATTGGTTGGTGGTTGTCGTTCTTCATGCTTGAAGAGAACCAAAATAGCATCACTATGTTAGAGTCAAATTTCAGCGTGCCCAACTGAGGCTGATCAGACCAATAAGAGCTCAGAATGCTCTACCACAGGTTGGGCACAAATTGTCCATGTGAACATTTGGGGTGGATTCTCTAAATGTGCTCGCCTCACATTTCTTTTGAGCTACTTCAATTCTGCTTTGCTCACCTTCTTTGATGAGGCCATGCCATGCTGGGCGGTCACATGCCAGTGTCTCCCAATTGATTCCAAAGTTCTTCAGAGAGAGTGAATATACATTCCAAGTAAATATACATTCACTTTGGCTACGTAGTAACGGTTTCACCTCCCCTTGCTATTAGAAAGCAAGATACATTAAGATTAAGGCAATGCTGCACTGAGGAAGGAATAAGAAAAGATCAGAAAGGGTCAGCTAAAACTGTCCAAAAGCAGCCCATTCTTATCCAGTAAGTTTTCCTGGAGACAGGATTCCAGAACTATTCGATAGAAGAGCCTTTCTCCTTCCTAGGATGACATTAATTTGTCACAGATGTAGCTTCTGGGAGGTTGGATGCCTGACCTGGGCAGTCAGGTGCATGATGTTGCAGCTGTTAATTAGCAAGGACAAACTTCTTGCCCAGAGATGAGAGACTGTCACTTTGCCAGTTGGGGATAGGTTGAGGGCCATTCGACCTTTTGAGGGCTCTAATTAGCATAAGGATAACAGTTGCACAGGAATAGCTGCTTTGTCCTTAGTTAGATGGATCATTTGGTTTTGTGCCCATGGCATGATCATCCCAATGTCCAGATGGTCAATGGACTCACTCACCAACTTCTGCTGTTCTTACAATGGCTCCAACCTAGTTGTTTAACATATAATGTATCTGATGGGTAGTGACATTCCCTACGAACAATTATAAGTAGGGGGAGGCAAAATTCCTTCATTAGTCCTGACCCCAACGGAGAGAGCCTTTGATTGTCCAAACTTGTTCTCTCAAGGCCCAAGACCACCTAGCCAGACTCATGGTCACCACCCATGAATCAGTATAGATGGAGGTCTTTTCTGCCCCATCCCTCAAAGCTCTCTCATATGTCATAAATGCGGCCTGAAGCTCAGCCCTCTAGGAAGACTTACCAGGACCCCCATTTCCTATCCCCTGTCACTGGATTAACATCTTATGAAGTCCAGTTCCATATACCCCTCTCATAGTGGATGAAGCTATAGGTAAGTCTGGAAAAACGATATTCCTCAGGAGCCAGGTCCTGATAGGTGGAGGCTCACTGACCTAGTGGGTGAGGCAGGGCTCCAGGGCCTGGATTAGAAGCCTCAATTTCTGACATAGTGGCCACGTTTTTGTGAAGGGCATTCACGCCTGAGGAACGCTGGCAAGCACAATTTTGAATGTACCATTTCCATTTAGCATTAGAAGTCTCTTGTGTACTACCATTCTTATTAAAGGGACCATCTTGCATCACTCAACTCATAATAGGCAACTCTAGACAAAGAGTGATTATATGACCCTGTGTCATCTGTTCAGTAATAACTAGGATCCAGTAACAGGCAAGCAGCTGCTTTTCAAAAGTGGCTTAGTGAGTGGAAGCTTTGTGGAATTGGCACCTCTGGAAGCCTAACAGTCACTTATTCCATCCAACCTTAATGCCTATCCAGATGAGGAATATGGGTTCTCCAAAATCTGAAGGCTCCAATAAGTCTCTGGGCTTCCATTTTAGATTTTGGGGAAATAAGTGTCAGTAGCTTACTCTGGATTGTGCCTGCAATCTGTTGGGTTTTCACAACCTACTATTTTCCCCAAAAATTGACAGAGTAGACTTGACACTGGATTTTCTAGTGATTGGTTTTCTACCGCTTGTGCCTTATGTAGTCCCCTATCTGATGTAGGGCTTCTGCCTCCATGGCCTCATCTGACCTGGTGAATATTAGGTCTTCAATGTAGAGGTATCACACCTTCATAAAGAGAAGTTTCTTTTAGGTGTCTATCCCATAATGTGACAATATGAAAGAGTGCAGGTAGCCCTGGAAAAGAACAATAAAAGTATATTTGACTCCTTACCAAGTGAAATCAAATCTCCTGACTAGTTTCAGCCATGGGAAAAGGGAAACAAGCATTGGTAAGGTCAATAATCTATACCATTCACCCTGAACCTGAGCTACCTGGTCTAAGACGTTGACAAGTTCTGGCACGACTGTAGCAATGGACATGATAACTTTGTTTAGCTACCTCCTTGTAGTCCACAGTAAGTTGCCAAGTGCCAACTGCCCTCCTCACAGGCAACACACACCTGTTCTAAGGGGAACTAAAATAATGAAGTTCCTGGTTGTTGCCAATAAGCCCCCACCCCCATCACGAGAGATCCCTTCACTTGCCCTATCTCCAGCTCCATTAGCCTTGGCCTTCAAACCCACAGTTGCTTAAAAGCTGAGACCTCTGTCCCTAGTTGCTGAAATGCACTGGGGCCAATTCACTTTCAATCTTACTATGCTGCCAATCCAACTTATTCAAGACAGTCAACAACAACCAGAGGTATTAGACTCACAGTTTAACAAAATATCTTAGATAGTATTAGTCTCACTAGGTTCAAGTCTGAAGCCTCCCCTAGGCTAGTACCTTGGGAACCTGGATTCTCAGTGCTTTTCTACTGGCCCAGCTACAACATCTATCCTAGAATTCTGGGCTCCAAGTTCCCCATGGCTCTAGCTCCAGGGTCCAGGATGCCATTACCTGCACCTGGGACTGAAAAGGAAAAATAAAACAGAGCAAAACCCTAAGCCTTTCTAAGGCCACCTAGCCTGGGGTTGACATGGATCTCGAGCTTCTCTCCACCTTGCAATGTGGTGTGAGCAGCTGTAAGTGAATAAGTCCTTCACCCCTGAATGCATCAGGGAAAAGAGAGCCAAACTATCCCAGTCTTAGAGTTTTAAAGATTCATCCAGTGGAAATAGTCTGCTCCCAACCATATTGTAGACCAACTGAATGTCCATGGCTGCACCAGTCCTCCTTTCTCCCACAAGCAGCTTCCTTTTTTTCTCCTATGTATTTCAGTTGTTTTTCAATCATGTCCCATGCCTTGTGATCCCATTTGGGGTTTTCTTGGCAAAGATATTGGAGTGGTTTGCCATTTCCTTCTCCAGCTCATTTTTCAAATGAGGAACTGAGGCAGAGTTATGTGACTTGCCCAGGGTCACACACAGCTAGTAAGTGTCTGAAGCTGGATTTAAACTCAGGAAGATGAGTGTTCCTGATTCCAAGCCCAGTGCTCTATCTACTGCACCTCCTAGCTGCCCCTTTCTTCTTTGCAGGTGCCTCCATCTTGGTCTGGTCATGTTCCAAACCCATTATATGAGTATTTACAGAAGGTTTTTATTTACGAAGCAGTGAAGGGACTGAAAGGAGCTGGAGGAATGGAGGGTAGGAAGGCATTAGCTCCTCAGGATCATTAAAAATTCTCACATAGAAAGTGGTATTTGAGCTGAGTCCTAAAGAAAACAAGACATCCTAAGAGGCAAATGAGAGGATAGAATACATTTCTCTCATAAGGGATACCATTACAAAGACATGGGAGATAGGAGATAGAGTGTCATGTGTGAAGAATAGCAAAAATGTAGACCAGTATGGCTAGATGTTAGGGAATGTGAAAGGGATTAATGTGTGATAAGACTGGAAAGGCAGGAAGGGACCAGATGATTAAGCAATAGAAATGATACCAAAGTTTACATTTTATCCTACAGGTGATAGGAATTGAGAGAAACTTATTGAGTGTGGGTTAGGGGGAGGAGTGATATGGTTAGATTTGTATTGCAGGAAAACCACTTTGTCAGCTATGTGGAAGATGAATTGGATTATAGAAAGACTTGAGGGAGAGAGACCAAATAGGAGCTTTTTTGCAATAATCTAGGCATAAGATGATGAGGGTCTGAACTACGATGTTGACTATGGGAATGGAGAGAAAGGGAGATGTGTGAGAGAGGTTGTGGAGATTTAAACAAGATTTATCAACTGGTTGGAATTGTAGAGTGAGAATAAAGATGACATCGACATTGTAAGCCCGAGTAACTAGAAAGAGGGTGGTGACACTAAAAGGAATGGGAAAGTACTTCTAGGTGACATGAACAACAAGAAGGAAAACTAGACAGGTTCTCTGATGCCCATGACCTCTCAAACTTCTCTAAAATGGAAATCATGCCTGAAAGATAAAGCAACTTCAGCTGTCTGCATGTGTCTAGGATACCCAGAACCCAAAAGAAGATTTTTAAAAAACTGATGCCTACCCTAAGGTCACTGAGTGACCCTGCCCCACAGCCCACACTACCAGCAACAAAGATGCACCAGCAGACCCAAGGACTTGACGTGTAGGCTCGCAACAAAACTCAGCTCACACTCCAGTCACCCCTCCCTCTTTCCAGTGCTCTGGAGATCTTGGTTCCAGACTTCAAAAGTTTGCTTGGGCACAACAGATAACCAGCACAGTGGCAGACAACTCCAGAGCACCAACAATGCAAAACTCTGAACTGCTGATGCTAGGGCAGACAACCCTGTACCAATAATGCTACAAAACTCTGAACTACAGGTGCCAGAGTAGATAATCCCATAGGGCCAGTATGGTAGCTCTCTGAACTGTTGGTGCCAGGCCACAAAAATGAGGAACAGAAAGAGCAAGACAGGATATCAAGACAGTACTATGGGGGGAGTAGGCCGAGCCAAGATGGCAGAGTAAAAGCAGTGACTTGCTTGAGCCCTCCCCCAAACACCTCCAAATACCCATAAAAACATGGCTCTAAACAAATTCTAGAGGAGCAGAACCCACAAAAAGACAGAGTGAAACAATTTCCAGCCTAAGACAACCTGGATGGTTGATTGGAAAGGTCTATTGCTCTAGGCTGGGAGAGGAGCATAGTTCAGTGTGGGCTGCACAGGCAAAGACCAGGCCTCAGCAAACCTGGAGCAGGTCTCAGGGGATTGAATCAAGAGGAGCTGTGGCGGCTTCCAGACGTCTCAACCCACAAACACCAAAGACAACTTAGAAAGTCAGTAGGAAAGGTCTGTTGGACCATGGTGAGAGAGGAGCTTGGTCCCAGCCCCAGTCCTGGCACAGTCCTGGGGTGGCAGCTGCTTCCTGAGTTCTAGCCCACAGAGGGAGGGGAAATCAAGTAGTTGATCACAGGGGTATTGCAGGGGTCTCTTTGCTGGTACTGAGGTAGGATTTTCTTGTTTTGCCTGTGCTTGGATCTGGGTCACAGTTCTGGGTGGTGATCCTGGGGTGAGGAGTGCAGGCGTGGTTGGAGCTTGTGGCGGCAGTGAAGAGAGAATCCTCTTCACAATTCCAAG